GCCACATTGCCCACTGGCCCTCAGTTTCCCTTGCTTGTGTGCACGTGCAACCTGGGGGTCCTTCCCGGTTTCTTAGGCACTGACACTTCATTGGCAGGGTGGTCTGGGGGACTGTGCTCGGGATGGGGAGTCCCCACTCTCATCCAGCTCTGCATGGCCCCTCCCAGTGAGGAGACATCAGGGAGGTCTCCTCCTTGTTAGAATGGAGGATGTAGCAGTGTCTCTTCTGTGGTGTGGATGAGACTAATGAGGTGCTACTTGTTGAGTGCTAAGAACAGGAAGTGAAGGTCTCGTTGGGGGGTCTGTGCCAGACTTCCAGATGGGCATTGCTCTGGCCCTCTCTATCAGCACCAGCCCAGCTCCCCAGGCCTGGGTCAGGCTGCTTGCTGTTGGCATGGCCTGCCCACACCTCTCTGTGTTTAGAGAAAAAATGAATTACCAGTGAAGGGAACGAGGGCAGTAATTTGTTACCTAATAACAAGGCAGCGTGTGTTTCACTGCAAAGCTCCTGCAGCCTGAGCTTCTGCCTCTCTAGAATGAAGCCTCAATGACTCTCTCGTTTGCAAAGGTGAGGATGGGCTGCATGCTGAGCGGGGCTGGGGCTGGGGACAGAGCCACCTCCCTAGATGCAGGCCCAGAGGCCAAGGGGAGCTCCAGGCCTCAGGCCCCACTGTTCACTAGCCATACCCCTGTGGGCATGTCACTAATCTCGCCATGCCTCAGTTTCCTCGTCTGTAAAGTAGGGGATTGTAGCTGAAGGCTTGCATGAGTTCATCTGTGCCAAGTGCTGAGAATAAAACCTGGCACAAGGTGAGAGCCTGGCACACACCGGGCTTGTGGTGGACGGGAGCCTGGCTTCACTTGGTTTCAAATGCATTTAGAGGCAGAACAACAGTCCCTATTACAGAAAACTAATTTGGGACCATGTCAAGCAAGGAACAAGAGAAGGGAAGCCCCAGGGCTGGATAAAGTGCAAAGGAAGATGGGGGTGGGGAAGGGCTGGTCTTCACACACCTGAAGGGGGTTCTGGGGAGCCCGTGCTGACTGCTGGAGGCTGGGTGCAATTCGCCAGTCTTTGTCATGCGGAGACAGTCCTTGGCACTCGCTGGTATTCAGGAAATGACGGATGTGAGGGGCTGGGCCGGGGCTGGGCGGTCTCTCCTGGAGAGAGATTTCAGTGTGATATGAAGCACAGGTCTCCCATCACCACATCAGCGGATCTCGTTCACAGTTTTTCTACTGGCTCTGCACCCCTGGCATGCCAGGTCCAGGCCAGAGCAGAGGTCCTTACTTCCGTGTATATGGGCAGAGTTTCTGTCACCATCTCCTTTACGTGGAGGAGAAAGTGGAGGCTCAGGGCAGCTCAGAGGCTTGCCCACTATTTCCCAGCGGATAGGTAGGAAAAAACATTCATTTACACATTGTATGTAGCCTTGGGCAAGGATTCAAGCTCTAGTCAGGACCTTGGTGCACCTTTGCCATCCTTCGAGCTCCCCAGGCACCCCGTGGCAGGACTCTGAGGAGCCCACGGGGTTCCCCATGTCTGTGAGTGCACAGCCCAGCCCACTCTGCCGGCCGCAGGGAACCGGAGGCTCTTTCGTGTACCCCAGGCTCAGTCTGACAGCTGCTGAGCTGTGAGCCCTGGACAGAGCCTTTTTCTTCGCAGAGCCTCAGTGTCCCCACCCATGAGGTGGGAGATGGACTGAAAGCTCCCCAAAGTCGCTCCCAGCTCTGGCACTCCAGCCTCCCCTAGTCTTACCCAGACAGCCCGTGGGATGGGCGTTGGGGAGTGAGGTGCATGGGGAGGCTCCCAACTGCTCTGTCTACCTTAGTGCCTCAGCCACCGCCTCGGCCAGACGGCAGGTTGGCCAGGAGCCCAGCGCCCATTCATCAACACATTCAGGTCGAGGCCCTGCTGGATCCCGGGCTGCATGCTGGTGCTGGAGGGAGAACCCTTTTGTCCAGGCTTGTAGACACCAGATGGGGATTACCGTGTGTGCCAGGCCCCTCGTTGGGCACTGAGGACCGGAGGTGAACTAGACAAACAGCTCTAACCTTGCAGCGCCTCCGAGGGTCTGATGAGGCCCTGAGAAACTGACCCTTCCCTGCGGCATATCTGTGGGAGGAACAAGGGAAGGGTGAAGTTGGCCTCTCGCCAGGGTGGAGATTTACCCCAGCGTGACTGCTCTGGGAAGAAACAGGTCCCTCATCCACAGAGGTGGCAGCATGAGCCTGGGCCAGGCCGGGCCCCTTTCTCCATGTTAGGGCAATGCGTAGGTTTTTGCAGGAGGATGAGAATACTGTTAGGAGTCAGGTTAGTAGCAGTTATAGGCCCAGCAGCACTTTACGGCTTCTTAGGGGGCCGCTTTGCAACTCATCTTACCAAATGAA